AAAATGCACTGTCTCCCTTCCATTCAAATCCTTATTCAACAAGCCTTCTCTGGCAATTCTGCCTGCAGCAATGCTGGAATGCTCCGAGAAACATGGATGTGACAGTGTCATGACAAGCTTTAGTCATCCAACACAGTGCCTGCCTGCTGTTCAAAAACTAAAATAAATGTTTTAAGGGGTCCTGTTCACAGCAAGAGGTCAAACATGTTAGCTACAACTGGGTTTGAACACGACTGTTTAAACATAATGCTGCTCTTCAGGTGGAGAGGGTCTTAGAGAGTATTTGTGAATTGAGTGGTCTCTTTACCGTGTCATTTCTCAGTAAAATCTTCATGTTAGAGATGACAATAGTCCAAACTACCCCTCCTGGGAATGCATGAGCTAGGATCGTTTTTCTAAATACTTGTAGCGTGATCCACTCCTTCAGTAGAGATCTCTGCCCATGCCCAATCACTGCCTGTCTTAAAACAGAAGTTCCTCCAGTTACTGGCCTATCTTAGAGCTCTCTTCAGTTGCCTTTATCAAACCTGGGGTGTTGAAGTCTTTAGTCATATGAGCCTTGTAGCCTGAACTGAAAAGCTTTGCTCCTCTCCTGCCAAAAATAATGTAAACCATCTCTTTGATGGAGCTGTTTTGACCCTCAATTTTACAGTTCTGTTGCTTTGTAGGCATCTCATTAGCTAAGAGCATTTAAAGAGCAAGAAGCTGAACTGTGGAACCAGTCTGGAAAGATTCAGCAGCTGATTCCTAACGGTGAGGAATTCAAGTGAATTGCTTCTGAAGTGCAACCCATCCATCCTCCTTTTGCTCCCCTCAAGTTTTATACATACAGAACATACTGAACACTCTCTTTCAGGCACTATCGTTTGACAGAACAGTCATTTTGCTCATAGGGTTTTGCTTACAGCAGCTCCTGTAATGATATCACCCTGGATTCCCCTTAAAAATGGGAGGTTTCTTCTAGATCTTAAAAAGAGATCAATATACTAAAACCAAATTCAATTAGAAAATATAATCATCTCTTCCTAACGCGACGCTTCATCCCAGGCGGTGGCAGAGATTTAACATCTTTGATATGCTTCCAATAGGTTTCACTTAAAGTGAGTTTGAAATGTGATCAGGCCCCTGCTTACAAGCGAACCAGTCTATTCAGCACTTTGTGAAGCGGCCACTAAGCTGTCGGTTGCTGATGAGTCTCCCCTCCCCCCGTTCCTCTTTGTCCCCTCTTGGCCTGCATCAGAGGGATCTTCTCAGTCTTCTTCTGCGGATTTGAACATGAGGATGGCATTGTAGATTTTCAGAGCAGGACCCAGCTTAATGCTCAGTATTTTAACTATGTCCGCCTGGTTCAGGAGGAGGAAGGCTTCCCCGTCTATCTGCTGTAGAACAGAGAAACAGTACAAAATGAAGATTACTGCCAGGAAACTTCCATGATTCTCTCCCCACCTCCCGGCTTCCAATTAACATAAAAATAACGTATTAGGCACTGATGAAAGAAAACAGACTGACAGGCCTTGAGCCTGAACTCCTGCATTTATCCACAAATAGACCTGCACAAGCTAAGCGTCCTACACATGCTGCCCTTTTCAGCATGACTCCACCCTAATGCAGAGGGACCATCTTTGGAAGTGAAAGTGCCTATGCCGAGACTACTGATAAGAGTGCAGTTGGCGCCTGTCGTGATAGTAGGTTATGTCCATTAGGAACTATATTGTGGACTAAGGATTGCTTCTATTTTAAAAATCGGTTGCAGTCAAGAATCCTACAAACTCTTCAGAAAACAAAATAATACACCTGGAACCCTTCCAAAAATCCTCAAAAATCCTGGAAAGCAAATCTCCAGTAGGACGGCACTCAGGATTCGGAAGCACACCAATCATGGGCGTGGTTTATACAGAGCTACTTTATATTGAGCTTCTTGGGAGTCCCATTAAACCTGTTCAAGGCAAAAATGAAAAGTGAAGGATCTAGACCTGCAGATCTGCATGGATGCTTTGGTTACAGATGAAGAGATTTCAGAGTTGAGGAACAGTTCCCTGCGGTTTCAAAGCTTGCTTATTCTCAGAACTACAATTCTGCCGATAAATATGGAATCTTCACTTAAAACAAAATAGATTTATGAAAATTGGCGTCAAAGGCACAAAATGAGATTCTTTAGCAAGGAGAGATGAAAGAGATATACACAACATGAATGGTATGGCGAAAATAAAGTACTTGCTCCCATTTGCCCTCCTCTGTAACACAAGTGTAAGGTAACAGCCAATTAAACTGAAAGGCATCACATTTAAAAATGATTAAGGGAAACATCTTTTGTTTTTATAAAATACAAGTTTAAGCTGTGGAACTCACTGCCACCAGGCATTACCGAGTCCAAGATCTTAGCAATGTCTGTGGACATTTATATTGATTAACAAGAACATCCACAGTTATCCTACAGAGATGAACTTATAATTCCTATTGACTCCTACAGCTTCAGGGCATAAGCCAAACATTAAGAGACAGAGGCAAGAAAGACATTTCCATTATTGGCAAGTATGACAACATTTGCTGAGTCAGGCGCTAACAATCTCCTGTCACTCTTATACCCACCAGTATTTTATTATTTGGCATTAATTGGAACCTAATTGGAAGACAGGTAAGTTGACAGAGGGTGTCAATTAACTAAGTAGAGCAACAGCTGAAGGGCTAATTGAAAGGGAAGCAGCTGCAGCAGGTGGGACTATATACATTGACAGGAAGGAAGTGGGAGAGAGGAGGGAGTCTAGAAAGGCAGGACTGGCTTTTGCTAGTACTGTTCCCTTCCCTAGGAAGAAGCAGAGAAACTGGCTATGGAAAGTAAACACACATAAATAATACTACAACCGTAGCCTGCTGAAAAATATAAAGAAAACCTGGAGTGATTGGGGTCTGTGATCAATGCCTGAAAGGACTCTCCAGGTGGCCATCCTGTGACAGCAAGTTACTCAAGAACAGTGTTCCCTGTAAGCTGTGCATTGCATGACTGCTCAGGAAAGATCCAAATGCCACCCAGCTGATTAGCAGAGTGCCCACAGACGGGATTTTTGTGTTTACTGGTGGTGCCCATTCACACATGCCTCATGCACATAAAAAATATTCTGCATGTGGATGGAAAAGATTAGAGGGGACTTTGCTCCGCAGATGTCCATTACAAGGATATGCACTGGGCCACATCAGAAATAGGGTATTGGACTAGGTGAGAACATTTCTGATCCAGGATAACAATTGTTACATTCCTAGGATTTTTTTCTAACTGGAAATCTACTGGATTTTAACAACTGGCTGAATAGTATGGGTCTGTCTAATTACACTGGACAATCATGAAAGCAAGGAAAAGAACTTATTTCTATTCCCCTATTCATAAAATATTGCATGATCTTGTGCAAGTCATTTCACCTCTTTGCGCCTTACTACCTGCAGCTGTAATGTGGGGGTGTCAGCAACACTCCCTAACTCACAGGGGGTCACACAGCTTAATTCTTGAATGTTTGCAAGGTGCTCAAGTACAGGACTGCTGTGATGAGAACATTAGAAATGCCTGGAAGTGAACAGAGAGCTGCTTAAATAAAACCAAATGGATCTAAAAGAAAAAAAAATGTGCTGCAAAGTACTTGTATATTTCAGCATAATATTTTGAATCTGATACAATTATTACTGCTTCAAACTCATCCTGTTACTGTCTAAGTCACTTTATTTTAAAGAGACCTTTCCTGAATTAGTCCCAGATACAAATGTAGTATCAATGCCTATGGTACAGTATGTGTCACTTTGTTCCATCCTACTCGGTTTCTTTCTCAAATCCTATACACAATTTATTCTCATCAGTGCTAAGGTAACTCAATAAGAAAATAAAGCATCACTTTCCTCTCTTTCCCAAAGCCTGAACAAGATTTATTTACCTAAACAGAATGCAGTTACAAGCCCGACTATAGCTTCTAATGGGCTAGTCTAGTGGAGTTCAGCAGTTCTGTCACTCACATGTTAATTCTTGCCAGATTCTGGCTAATGCTCAGAACATTATTAAAAAGATTTTAATTTCAACGTAACAATTTAATTTGAATACAAGTCTGAAAATACATTAACCCTTTTATGCCAGGAGCTGGGACTGGTGCGTAGTGGGGTACCTCTGGATAGCTAGAGGCACGAGGTTACATAAGAAGTGGCTACAGTGGAGATGAAATTAATTCTAGCTACAAGATATAAAAGGTTTGAATGGTGGATTGATTAGTAGATTTACCAGTAGAATCTCATTTATCTAAATCTTTATTTCCTATCATCAGAAATCAGATTATGTCACTGTGCTCAGTTCCACTGAAAAAGTCCCCTATTTATGTGGATGAATTCCATGCCCCCCACTCTGTTCAGTTAAGCAGTGTTCCGTGGTAATATTACCTTTTTGTACAGTACCTTTTGCAAGCCTGAATTGTTTTTATGGAATGAAATGTACAAATATACATAACTATGAGCATGACTTCCATTTGCCTGCCACTGAAATGCAGCCATCTCACGGGTGCCATCATTTATGTATTTCTGAATTAAAAGTATGCCCATTACAATGAGTACTATGTTAGAACCCAGAACATGCTGCATGTTCTTGCAGAACACAGACAAGGCACAGTCCCTATCCTCAAGAACTTACAATTGAAATAGACTAGGGAGCTGTGCCCCCTCCTCATTGTGCTCACCAACTCCCCTCTCAGGGGGTAACCCAGGATCTCCCCCTGTGGCCACTGGTGAGGGCTGGGCTGTGGCCATGCCAGCCCAAGTCCCTGCTCCCTTCTCCTTCCCCCATCACTCCGTGAGCCAGGGTCCTTTCCTTGCGCGCCCCCCCCCCCCAGCCTGGGCCCTTTCTCTCCTCTCCAACCCTAACTGCCCCCCTCCCAGCACATGCCAGGCCCGGCTCTAACCCCAGCCGGGAAAGTGCAGGGGGGCCTGCCTGCCCCACATGTGGTGCAGGCTGTGCCATGTGCATGCAGCACTCTGGGGCACTGCAGCTTGCTGAGGTGGGGAAAGCAGCAGTGTGGGGGGTGGCTGTCCCGACCTCTCCCCCACGCAGTCCTGCCTGCGCTGCTCACTGCCCCAGCCCTGCCCACCGGGAGCCGAGGTGAAGGAAGAGACAGGTCAGTGCGGCAGCTTCCCCAGGCAGCGTGGGGGTGCTTTGGCAGCCACGATAAGTGCAGCTGCAGGGGAGGGGGTGAGTCTCTATGGGGACAGCTGGACTCTGGGCAGCTGGGAACCTTGCTCTGGCTCCCCAAGTGCCTGGTGGTGGGGAAGCCCCCAAGAACCTGCTGCTGGCACATAAGCCTGGCTGAAAGCCCCGCTCCTAGTGCCTGTCCCCAGGTTGCTGTCCTAAGCACCGTACCCTGGGATGTCATGGCTGCGATGCGAGGCCTGCTGACTACTGTGCCATGTTTCTTGGCGTTGAAAGCCTGGTGGGGTGGGTGTGGAGGAAGGGGAGTAGGGGCTTGTCTTAAAATAGCAATTCCAAGTAGCAAGGGGAAGCAGCGAGGTTGGGCTTGAGCTGGGAGGGAGAAAGGGAGTAGATAGGTGGGACGCAGCGTGACTTTTTAAAATATATACAGAGATAACACACTGCAAAGGGGAGGCACAAATAAGGAAGCTGATCAAATGGGGTATTACGTTCACCTTGAGTTATACTTGGAAATGTATTGAGAAGCCAGTAGCATCCAGAGAGCAAAGGAGAATGTTTGCTAAGTAAGAGAGCCATGTTCTGAAGTCTGGTGTGTTTGAGTGGTGTTAAAAGGCTAGGTAGAGCACAGTGCAGAGATCCAAATTGGGAAGTGACAAAGGAAGGGATAACTGTGGCAAGAGGAAAGGCTACAACTTCCTAAACTGCAGATTTTAAAAAGATCTCCTCAATGGCTGCTGCCAATGAATCCAGGAACAGCCAGAGATCCCCAGGAGAATGCCCAGGTTCCTGACCTCATTAACAAAATTACTAGAAGGAGCAGGTGCACTGCATTGCAGTAGTTTTAATTCACCCTCCAGTTTGAAAGTTTTGCTCATTTTGCAAAGTGGCTAGGCTACTGCAGTTTCCCAGAAGTGCCACACGCTTTTTCACAAACAGAAATTATATCTTAGCTAGGCACTGGGCACTATGACTCCATATCCATTTCTAATGCAAGAGCATGCAGCTGGCATTAGACCCTCCAGTGCTACAGGACAACACTTAATCAGGCTTTACTCACCTCTTCCCTGAATACTGATGCTTGTTCCTTGCAGCCAGGTAAACGCTGGACAAAGTTAGCCACCTAAACAAATAAGGGAAATGATGCAGTTAACATGGAGAGATTAATCATCAATGCAAAAACCATACTGCTGATCACAATTACAAATTACATCTGAAATGTTTATAGGTGAAAGAGGGTAGCAACAGTCTCTTTTTTTTCAGTTTGTCTCCTCTGTGCATCTGACAACCTCATGTGGATAGTCAATTCCACTGTCTTTCATGGATAAGCAGCCAGTTTCGTCCCTGCTGAAAAAGCCCTTATAAAAACATCAACATTATTTTTAAGGATTGACAAAATCAATCAACAAATCAGGAGGTATGATTTAGAGTGCACTTTGTCAGAAAGTGGAACTTTTGGAAATTAAGATCATTTAAATGAGGTGAGATAATATCCCTTTAAGAGGCCAGAGTTAGATAACCAAATGGCTACGTCTACACTGGCACCCTTTTCCGGAAATGCTTAAAGCGAAACAGTTTTCCGTTGTAAGTATTTCTGGAAAAAGCGCGTCTACATTGGCAGGATGCTTTTCCGGAAAAGCACTTTTTCCGGAAAAGCGTCTGTGGCAAATGTAGATGCACTTTTCCGGAAAAAAGCCCCGATCGTCATTTTCACGATTGGGGCTTTTTTGCGGAAAAGCCTACTGTGCCGTCTACACTGGCCCTTTTCCGGAATAGTTTTTCCGGAAAAGGACTTTTGCCCGAACGGGAGCAGCATAGTTTTTCCCAGAAAAACACTGACAATTTTACAGTAGATCGTCATTGCTTTTCCGGAAAAGCAAGCGACCAGTGTAGACAGCTGGCAAGTTATTCCGGAAAAGCGGCTGCTTTTCCGGAATAAGTGGCCCAGTGTAGACACAGCCCAAATGTATTGTTTGCCTGAGGAAGGTGCACAACAGTTTACAAACATGTGAAAAGTGGAAGCACTGAAGAGAGAAAGGAATTACCATTCAGTTATGGTGAAGCAAGGGAGTATACTTAGGACCAATGGAATTAAACAAGGGAAAGCTAATTTTGTTTTGAATAGCAGGAAAATCTTTCTAAAGGGGAGATGTGCTTTACTGTGGAATAGTTTCTCTGGAGAGATGGTGAAAGCCTCATGAATTAGGTTATTTAAAACTGGACTATGTAGTGCATATATGGGGAGTAGAGAAAAGAAATAAGACTAGGTAACTCAAAGCATGACTTTTTCATCTCTAACTTCCATGGTTCATGGAAGATATGTACATCAAGGCATAATCTGTTCAAACATCTCATTAACTGGATGCTTCCTAGAGGGAATGACTCTATTTCATAAGACATGTTCACTTGAATTGGTGTAGATGTGACATTTCTCCCAGAAATACAAATAGACAAGCCATTACAAGGGACACTGTCAAATACTATTTCCTCTTTTCTTTTTTAACTCCTGATTGCCAAACTCCATCATCTCCTAAAAAGAGTGGATACAAAATGCCTTCTCCTGCTGATCCTAGTGTTTCTGAATTTAACAAGTATCAATTCTTCCTTCCTGCTCCCATGAGACTGCAGAAGCGAAGCAGACAGGGTTCCTTCTGTTTTCAGAAAACTATTACTACTGAATCAGTAGGGAGACCCCTGTTTTAGAGGATCCACATAAAATAGAAAACCTTATACTGAGAGGAAACTGGGGGGTTCTGAATTGTGAGATGAGAATCAAGCAGTCAAGGTTGTTTTCAGAGATTTCCTCAGTTTCCATTATGGAAAAGTTCTAAAAAGTGTAAACAAAAATGAAGACCTATCTATAGGTTTCTGAAATGAGCTACAGAATTTAACAGAAATGTTATTCTACATGTTATAGCACACATAACAATGTAGTCTGTCTCCTTTAAAGGGCAAGGGGGGTCCAGAGCCAGCTAGCCCTGTTCTATGATGTGGACCCTTTAAGGAAATAGATGTTTAAGGGGCTAGTAAACAAACTGGAAATGGGAGCTAGAGTTAATCAAGTGGATACCCCTGAACATAATAAGTCAGCTGTCAGGAGACAGAGAAGAATTGCAAGGGAACAGCTCCCCAGAATGGGAACCAAATCCTGAATACTAGTGCCCTAGGAAAGCCTGCCTGAACCATAGCACAAACCAAAAAAGAGGCCGTGGGTTGAGACTGAAGGGGAAGGACTTGTGAGTCCAGGGACCACGGCAGGAGGAAACAGCTCTGAAGAGAGTCTGCGGGCTGTAGGCGGATGGAGATGGAAGAGGTTGAGTGGGAAGGCACAAGGAGAAAGACAGGGCCACAGAGGAAGGTTTTTTTAAAAACTTAACAACTTACACCCTAAGAGAGGGAACATTCCTTTAAATACTTCAAAGTGTTATTTGGAAGAACCAAGAGGTAACCGAGGCTAGAGTGCATGCAGTGCCCTACCGTGCCGATAGTGGCAATGCATGCGCAGACATAGATCTGAGACAATGAGAACCTTTGAACCTCCTATCACTATGACAGATTGAAACTCTCTAAACCAGGACTCTCTGGTCCGGCAACATCCATGGTCTGGCAGGACGACAGATAGTCCAGGACCAGAGAGTCCCAGTGGAGAGCAAGCACCTGGGAGCCCTGCAGGCTGGCAGGGCAGCAGAAGCCCGAGATGCGGCAGCAGGGCTTCCCGGCAGGACAGTGGGAGCCCCATGCGTGGTAGTAGGGCTGCCCAGCAGGGCAGCCAGAGCCTGGCTCACAGAGGCAGCGCGCCCCAGCGTGGCAGCAGGAGCTGGGCACTCAGTGGAAGATTCTTCCATAAGGTTGCAATGAGGTCTTATATTTATACCAGGGTACTGAAATCTCCCTAATTCTGACATATTTAACCTCCCCTTTCCTCTAACGGATACTGCCTCTAGCCTAGATCTCACTAGTAACAAGTGCAAAGGTAGTGGGATGCTGGAGTTTAAGCCAGTATGCGGCTTTCCGGTAATAACACACTAAAGTAGGATTGACAAGGCCATGTGAAAATAGACAAACAGGAGCTGGTATTAACAATAGCTTTATAATCCAGCTGCAGTTTGCACGAGGACAATCTCCCTCAGCCTCTTGTATTAACATCTCCTATGGGATTAACTAATGAGCAATTCAAACACTGCCACATTTTAATATATCCCTGAGACTTGACCCTCCCACCCTTACCATCTAACTACACTTTGAAAGCTTTCAATAAATAACGAGCCCTCATTCAAAGGACAGCTCTTTTTGACTGGACCACAAGCCTTTATATGGATGTTTCAGACGGCTGTTAGTCATTCATTTCAGATGCTCTCAGAACTAGAGATTAAAATACATTATTTGTATTTAATTTAAATTTTGTAAATTAAACAGAACTTTAGCTTCAGATTAAAGGAGAATTTTATGCTGCAAGCTTCAGATCAGTTTAATGGATCCTTTTGGGTCAGAGTTCAGAGGCACCTGATACCAACCGCTGACCAACAACTACATGATAGGAAGGTTTAACAAGTCCAGGCTTCAAGAGACCAGTGCCTCTTTACTTAGTGCCCACTAAAATCTACTAAATCCTGCTGCCTTTATCTTCTTCACAGCCTGTATTACATTGCACACCCTGATTTTCATGGACATATATCTCATGGACTCCATGGGAATTCTGGATGAGGAGGGACTGCAAGATTGGATCCTTCTACTGATATTTAGATCAGAAGCTGATATGCCTTGTTGTAACACCTGAGGCTGGGAATGCCTATTTTAACTATTAGCCTCACTGGTGAAAAGTAGGTAAATGTTCAGCAGAAGGATTGTTGCTGAGACTCCAGACCTTGATACTCCAATGAGGAGGCCTGCTCATCATTGTTGCACAAGCAAGGATCCAACCTGATACATGTGACATTCTAATCCAGGGGTGGGCAAAATATGGCCTGAGCTGGATCCAGCCCACCAGGAACAGGGGAGGGGGGTTCTGCATGCTACCCCTATCCCCAGCACAACCTCGCAGCTCCTGTTGGCTGGAAACTGGCCAATGGGAACTGTCTTGGCCAGGCTTGCGGCAAAGGCAAAACTTCCCTATTTCCCGAGGAGGTGGTAAAGCACTGGGATGGGTTACCTAGGGAGGGGGTGGAATCTCCATCCCTAGAGGTTTTTAAGTCTTGGCTTGATATAGCCCTGGCTGGGTAGATTTAGTTGGGATTGGTCCTGCCGTGGGCAGGGGGCTGGACTTTATGACCTCCTGAGGTCTCTATGATTCTATGAATGTACCCCGCCAGGGGTGTGCAGAGAACACATGGCCCCCACAGCTGGCCATTTTGAGTGGCATGCGGGGGGCATGGAAGGCAAGGAGCCTGCATGAGAATCCAGCTGGGCGGCTGGCTGGGAGCTGCCTAGAATAGATAAACACCTTCCAGCCAGAGCCTGCCTCTGGTACCCCAGCCTCTCCTTCTCTCCAACCCCCTGCTCCCAGTCCTGCATCCCTGCCCCAGGTCACAAGCCAAATCCTCTGCACTCCTGCTCCTGCACCCATACTGCCTCCCAGACCCTGCACCGGTGTTCCCTCTAAGCTGCGTGGCAGTACAGCTTCAAAAGTGATTAATCGGCCCTACCTAGTCAGTCGGCTCCCTGCAAGAAGCCCTGAGCCTCTGACTGAGTGGGGCTCATTAATCACCTGTGAAGCTGTGCTCTGTGCTACCACACAGCTTAGAGGGAACTCTGCACCCCAATCCCCTGCCCCAGGTCACAACCCAAATCCCAGCATCCCCTCCGACACCTTTAGTGTGTTATTACAGGGAAGCCGCATACTGGCTTAAACTCCAGCATCCCACTACCTTTGCACAACCCCTTCCTGCACCCCTCCTCCAGGTTGGCATTTTCTTCTGCACCCACACCCATAAACCCTCTCATCAGGTCACAACCCAAATCCCTGCACCCTGTCCTGCACCTCTGCCCCCTAGTCACAAACCCCTCCCATTCCCTGCACTCCCTCCGGATCCAAATCCACTCCTGCACCCATGCCCATACCCCCTCCTGGGCCCTACACCCCCTCCAGAATTCCAATCCCTTGCCCCGGCTCACAACCTCCTTCACCCAAACTCCCTCCCAGATCCCACACCTGCTGCTGCACCCCAATTCCCTATCCCAAGCTCCCTTCTGCACCCAACCTCCATCCCAGACCCAACATCTCCTCCATTAACATCACTGAAGAGGGTGGCTATTAACCTCTTACCAAATTCTTGGAGTGCACCCCCATCAAAAATTATTGCCTACCCCTATTCTAATCTGTCTTTCCCTCTCTCCTATGCTTCCTTTCTGCCTCCATCTCTTGCCCTCTAAGCATTTCACCTGAGCCTGAAATACACAGTACTGCATCTGCACAGTGAGATGAGACAGCCCATCCAGCTCTGCTCAGCCTGAGAAGCGCCAGTGAAGGAGAGGGACCTGACCAGACCACTGGACTGGCATATTGAGCAAGGATCCAGAACAATAGCTGTTATGATCAACCTTTCAGCCCAAAATCTCTGTCCATGACTGTGGGTACGTCTACACTACAGCGCTAGTTCGAACTAACTTAGTTCGAATTAGTTAATTCAAACTAAGCTAGTTTGAACTAACGCATCTAGAACTAAAAACTAGTTCGAATTAGCGTTTTGCTAGTTTGAACTAGCAAGTCCACATTGAGTGGACTCTGAACAGGGCTTAAGGATGGCCGGAAGCAGTGCCGGCAGGGCATAAAAGGAGGACTTAGAGCATGGAGATGCTGTCTCAGGCTAGCCGAGGGCTGCGCTTAAAGGGTCCCGACCCCCACCCCGGACACACAGTTCTAAGGGGTGCCCCGCTTGCAAAGAAGTTCTGGCTTGGAGTGCCCTGAGTGCCCACACTGGGCACATCACACCACTCGGCCATCAGCCCGGCTGCACTTGCCGCAGGCTGCCATCTGGGGAGAGGGAGTAATTGGGGGGCTGCAGGAGAGCTTCCACCCCCAGAAGCCCGCAGAGCCAGCCCAGTCCTCCCCATCGGGGGCTCATACCCCATTCCTCCCTCACCTCCTTCCACTTACCCTTCCCTAGCCCCCCTTCTTATTGATGTACAAAATAAAGATAACGTTTCTTCCAACATTGACTCTGTCTTTATTGAAAAAAAACTGGGGGAGACTGGGAAAAGGAGGTGGGAGAGGGGAAGAGAAAGGCTGGGAGAGGGGAGGGCAACTAACATGATCAGGGGTTGGGAACAGGTCCCAGATGAAGAAAGGCTACAGAGACTGGGACTGTTCAGCTTAGAAAAGAGGAGACGGAGGGGGGACAGGATAGAGGTCTCTAAAAGCAGGGGTTGGGTGGAGAGGGTGCATTCAGAAAAGTTCTTCATGAGTTCCCATAAAGAAGGACTAGAGGACACCAAAGGAAAGGAATGGGTAGCAGGCTTGAAACTAGTAAGAGAAAGTTGTTCTTCCCAAAGCAAATAGTTAACCTGCGGAACTCCTTGCTGCAGGAGGCTGTGAAGGCTACAACTAGAACAGAGTTTAAAGGGAAGTGAGATCAAGTCATGGAGGTTGGGTCCATGGAGTCCTATTAGCCAGAGGGTAGGAGTGGTGTCCCTGCCCAAAGTTTGTGGAAGGCTGGAGAGGGATGGCACGAGACAAATGGCTTGGTCATTGTCTTCGGTCCATCCCCTCCAGGGTCCCTAGGGTTGGCCGCTGTTGGCAGACAGGCTACTGGGCTAGATGGACCTTTGGTCTGACCCAGGACGGCCATTGTAAGCTCAGGGCTCAGGGTCGGGGGTCTCAGTGGACCCCCTTGATTTTCATGCACACCTGGTCCTGGGTGGCCAGGCTGGCAGCCCTCCTGCCCTAGACGGCCACTTTCCTGTGCCTAGTGCAGAGATCGTGGACGCAAGAGGGGGTGGGCTGGGGGGCATCAGGTGGGTGGCTCTGTGCCGTGCCAGGTGCAGGGTCTGCCAGCTGGGTGCTGGCAGGCTTGCACCTGGCACGGGCACCGTAGCCAGCCCGTGCCCCTTTAAGGGGTCCGGGGCCGGGAGGGGGGCATAGAGTTTCCCTGGTGTTGGCCAGAGTGGCCACCAGGGAAACCTGGGAAGCCTTAGCCTCCCACTAGTTCGAACTAAAGGGCTACACAGCCCTTAGTTCGAACTAGCTAGTTCGAACTAGGCGTTAGTCCTCGTAAAATGAGGTTTACCTAGTTCGAACTAAGCGCTCCGCTAGTTCGATTCAAATTCGAACTAGCGGAGCGCTAGTGTAGCACCTATTAAAGTTAGTTTGAACTAACGTCCGTTAGTTCGAACTAACTTTGTAGTGTAGACATACCCTGTGTCCTAAGCACAACAAAAGCTGTTCCCCCATTGTCACTAGCCTCTCTCTTTTCTCTCCCTTGTGTGTCAGTCTGTTTTGTCTAAAGACGGAAAGTCACTATTACTCCCAGTTCAGAGTTAAACAGCCAAACTAACTTTTTTTCCTCACCAATAAGGACTATTTAACGAAATAAGAGACTGACCAATATTCACCATCTCCAAAAATGGATTTTAATAGGCTTTGATTAAGTCTCTTTTGCATAAATAATCAATATCAGTTTCCATGCTCCTTACCTCATTTTGATTCTTTTCTATTTGTGTGGTTCAACCAATACATTTTTAACCTTTAGCAATGAATTTTATAGTGTGTTTGCCATGGTAAGAAGGAAGCTGAAGTCTCTGTAAACCAAACTCCAAGACTTGCTTAACCCCATTTAATACTGGAGAGCAACTGGTTATGTTAACACCTTTAATTCAAAATCCCTGCTGGTCACTGTCATAACATGTAACAAAGGCTGTAGCACAGACAAGCAAAGTTCAGTGTATTCTGGTATTTAGAACCTACCTGTCCCTGCCTCACTCTCTGTGCTTCTTATTTATGTTCATCTGGTAACCAATTAGCACTCTAGTTATGTTTACACTTCAGTGACTTTAAAGGTCAGCTGCAAGGACAAATATTTTGGCGTGTGCCCTTTTCTGCACTTTTATGAAACAGCCCTCAACTTTTTGTCCAAAAGAAACACAATATTCTACTTGTTCTTGATACGTTATCAGTATCAGAAGTAATCATTCTTGCCCTCCCTGGTTTTGCTGGATGACCTACTAGAAAACAGAAGTGGAAGCTTCCTCTGCTCTGAAAAGCAGGACACAGGGATGGTGAATTTTCTACAGAGAGCTCTTCCCCTTGAAAGTTAGTTGACAAATGAATTTAAACAAGTTTTCACAAAACAAAAGAAGAATCCCTGAGTTTTAAACAATCTATCTGCCCTGTCACAATTGCTCACGTTAAGTCCCTGGTGATGTCATTATCCCTCTAGTCTCTAGTCTGCTGATGAATCTATCTACTCATCTTTTAGAGGGTTGTGAGTCCATTTGTTCAAAGGCTCCTCCTAAATGGTAAGAACTAGGACCACCACAGTTGGTATGCAGCTTTCTCTTAGCCTAACTTAAAACAAGATACGGGGTTGGTTGTGCCAGGAAAATGGAATGGGCCTGAAATCTGACAGTTTTCTATAACACTGAAAGGAAGGGGAAGAGAGAGGAGGGATGCGATCCTCAAGGAAGCACAGGAGAGAGCTATCCTGCAGAGTCATCACTGAGGATGAGTCCTCCGTGTCCCCTGCCTTACCCCACCTTCTGGGCCAGGCCTGGGGAGGACTAGTGGGAGAGGCATGCATGCACCCCCTTTCCCAGGCTGGGCCGAGGGAGCATCAGCCAGGGGGAGGCCTCTACAGCCCTACCCGCCCCACTCCCGGACCTCCTCCCCACCCCATGTCCCTGGACCAGTCACTCCCCAATCCCGGGACAGCCTGGGGCATGCCAGTGGGAGGTTTGCACGGTGTCCACTCTCTACCCCAGGCCAGACCCAGGCAATGCTGGGTAAGTCTGCTTGTTCTCTGACACAGAGACAAGCAGAGATTTGATTTTCATAGTGTAAAAGGCAAGAGGGAAAAAACACTCTTGAAAATCTGCATACCCTCTCTATGGATTATGAAGAAGCAAAAGAAGTCACAAACTTTTTTTTTTTTGGCACAAGACTTTTTCCCCTCACAACCCACATCTGCACAGATTTCCTTCTGCATGAGTGGGCCAGCCATCACGCTCCAGGAGTCAAGCCACTGCCACTTCACAGCTGGTGGTACAATTCAAACCAATGCCCCAGGCATCCATGCAAAGAACTACTCAGCCCAGCAGCAGACACACTGTATCAGAGACACCTAATTGCAGGGGACGTGTCTTATTTACAAGCACTGCATCTTGTGAGCTAGAACTGCAAAAATGTCTCTCTAATAGTATGACTGCTGCCTCGCAGGAATCATGTCATATCATGGCTGGTTTGGTTCTGCAGGTGAGTCAAGCAGGGAGAGAAAGGAAGGAGTCCAAGAATGCACGGCACAATTTTATGATTATCCACAATGTAAAATGAGTTAGCAGTAGAGTCGGGGAGGAAAAGACCAGAGGACGCCAGTGTCTACTATCAGCATTTTGTTTCAGGCCTGAGGATGAAAAAGGTCAGGAATATTAAGCAGCTGGAAAAAGATCCATCATCAGGGAAACATCAAATGTTTTGACACTATGGGGTTAATACAGATTTTTTTCAGGAACTCAGGCTAAAAACTTTTGGTGGAGCCAGTTATTTCCCTGCATGAGCCATCGCTGCAAAATAAAGAGATAACCACTGCCTATATGGGGGAGGAAAAAAATGTCTTCCAATCAGCACTACAGAAAAAGGGAGTGACCCGAGATTCCATCAAGCAAACAGAAAAGGCAGACGCACTGTACTCACCTCTTCCACAGTCCATTTGGCCACGCTCCTGGCAGTAAGGCCCGAAACCTCCGGCAGCAGCCTGCAGTGCTGCTCCCAGCAGAGATGGAGACGATGGGTCGGGCTGGAAGACAGGGAGGGCATGAAGACAGACTGATGGAGGGCCTGCTGCAGAGTGAATTCTGTGTCTGGAAACAGAAACAAGAGGCGTCAGAGACAGTAGTCAGTCCTCGATTTGAAGCAAATCCTTGATTTGTATGTGTGTGTGTGTGTGTTAACACTTCGACAGGGGAGAAAGATGGGGCAGGAGAACAGACTGCTATTCCATGGCACGCTGCACTCTGAGCATGCCCCCAAAGAAGGGAAGGAAAAAACCAAAAGCAAGGCTGCCAGGCTGGCAACGTGATCGTTAGCTGCTTCTAGGGAAAATGACGTCCTGCTGCTAACCCAGACAACGTTGTATTGACAAGGTGGAGGAGTTCTGGTAACAGCATCTTTGGCTGGAAACAAATGGCTCCATTCCAGTTCACAGCCTGTAACTGGCTTGCTAACAAAGCGACACATGCCAGATGATGGCCTGGACCAACTCCCTCCCCCACAAGAGACTCCAAAGCCAGTAATACTCTGTTACCTCCAGACACCAATATTGCTCTCCATTTGTCAAATGAGAGTGAGGCTTAAAAAAAAAAAAATCAGCCCCCCACTCCTCCCTCCAAATGAGCTCACTTGAGAAGTGCAGAGTCATGCCCCTAAAGGGATTTGACTGGTTATGCAATGGGGGCGGATGCAAAGGATGGAAACAAGATAGAACACGTTCCCCTGGGTTATAACGGTTAATATTTATTGTCACCCCTCCCTCCTCCCCCAAATACGAAAGGGAGGCACATTTCTAAACACTGGAATACTTCAGGTAAGATTATGGTCAAGGTTAATGGTGCCACCATGTGGCAACAACAAAGAATTATGTTTTGTTATTTTCCTGGCAAAAAATAAAAGCATAGAAAAGATCAAGCTTTCTTCCTTGTCATTCCTCCAGGGCTGCTGACAAGTGCAGGGACTGCTCCGGTGATCAAAGTCCTGCCGACTTTTTCCACGGGTGAGGTACAGCTACCCCACTTTGCTCTGGCAATGTGCCCTTCCCCTTATCCCAGAGGGGCCACCCTTCAGGGTGAGAAGAACTACAGATTTCCAGGGACCAGTTAGTTATAATACTGGACTTTCCACTGAGCCCACCAACTGGTGCTCACTCTGGCAGTTGATGATGTCCTTGTAGAAAATGAACGGCAGGTATGTCTAACTGAAGTGGGAGAGGGGCATACCCAAGCCAGTTTGAACTAGCTAGGTCCAGTAATAACAGCAAAGAAGCTGAGCAGCACCAGCAGCAGCACAGGCTAGCAGCTCAAGTACAGTAAAACTCTGATGGTCCGGCACCTGATGGTCCGGCACCATCAGGAACCCGGAAGTGCTCTGGGCAGCCGGACCATGGCAGCTGCTCTGCCCCCAGCTTCCCCGATTCAGCC